CCTCCGGACCCGAACCGGGACACTCCACCAGCACCCCCACCTCCTGTCATGATTGATTTTTTTTTATTTACATGAGGCTTATATACCGCCCATAACCCCTAGTGGGTCTCAGAGTATATATATATATATTTACATGAGGCTTATATACCGCCCATAACCCCTAGTGGGTCTCAGAGCGGTTTACAGACTTACTACTATATAGTAGTGATTAGACCTACCTAGGGCCACATTTCACAAGGGGAGGGACTTCCCTATCGACACCCGGTTGGCAGAGCCTTCTCTCTTCTCCCGGCGGGGTCCACATGTTGTTGTCATTTTTCTGGCTTGTTTCTGGCTGTCCGGCGACCTTCTCCCGGAGGCTCGGTGTTTTTGCGCGCGAATGCTTCTTCGGCTGCAGCTTCCGTCTCACGTCCTTCCGGCTCCAGCCGGGCTGCGCCGTCCTGCGTCCGCTTTGCCTGCGTCTCGCATCCTGCGTTCGCTCTGCCTTCCGTCAGGTCTTGGTCATCCGGATATCAGCCGCCATTGTTGTTTTTCGCCGCTGCCGCCTTTCACCTCCGTTGCTGCTGCCAACACTCCTGGCACAGAACCAGGAGGTGGGTGCCCCCTGCCACCTAGGGCAGGTACCCATTTATCTACTCGTTGTTTTTACCTTTCGAACCGCTGGGTTGGCGGGTATATATGATTAACAAAATATGTGGCAGGGTAAGAGCTCTCGTGAGTCACTGCGCACTTCTTCAGCTCAGTGATGCACACACACAAACACACACACACCTTCTATTCTGGAAAAAGCAAGTCCACCAGTAGTTCCAAAAGAAAACAAATGGTGGAACAGAACAGAGGAACGCTATGCATGGAACTGTGTAAAACAGTGAAACAATAGAAGCAATGTGCGGAAAAGAAGGAAGGATGTAGAGATGAGTGTTGGAAATATGTGTGTTGCAAGGTCTAAATTCAGTCATTATAGGGTTAATGTGTTTACCTTGTGGGCTATTGTTTAGACTGACCTGGAAGGTAGCCTGGCACAAAGCCAATGGGGAGAAAGCCCAGGAAATGGGAGCCTATTTACTAACAATCATTGGTTAATGTATTCAGGTGATTTCCTTCTAGGGGTCAAGAAGAAAGAAGAATCTCCATTACCAACTGTGCGGTCAGTCTGTCTGTTGTTGTACTTGTAACAGCAAGGATGTAGTCTTAAGGGTTTGTTGTTTTGTAGATTTCCCATGTACCCTTCCCTTTAGAAATAAAGATTTTTACATAGAAAGAATATGCCTTCTCTCCAGTGAACAAAGATCCATTGCAAGCTCTGAATATCTAACTACTTTTACCAAATTTTCCAAAAACGAGGACAGAAGAAAGTGGTTGCAGAGGAGAAATCAAGAGACCCCCAAGGCATGGTGATGATTTAAGAGACAGACTGGAAGGAGAAGCAAAGTTAAATCCCATAGATTTAACTACAGGAGGAGGTGATCATAAAAGCAGCATATGAAGGCCTCTGGTACTGAGTCATTCCATCAGTCCATCTAACCCAGTCTTGGACAGATAAAAGCCTTTCCCAACATCTGCTACTGGAGATCCTTTAACTGGAGATGCCAGGGAGATGCTCAGGACCTTATATGTGCAATGCCGTTGTTCTGCCATTGAGCTACAGCCCCTCCGCATGCAACTATAATAGCTGCTCTTTTGTCTTTGCAGACGCAGGCTTCTCTCGGATGGCTTTGTGCAATGTTCTCCATGTTCATGGTGGTCACTCTGGCTTACACCTTAGAGGCCTCCCTCGATGCCTACTCACTTTCTGTGGCCCTTTACCAGGCCGTTCACCGGACAGTTTGGGCAGCTGCTGTGGGGTGGATCATTTTTGCTTGTGAGGAAGGCTTTGGAGGTACGGCACAGAGGGGGTATGGGGTACTTTTTTGTTTGGGGAAATCCTCTCCGAGATCCCATCTGGAGTGTAGGAATGCGAATAAGGCAGAAATGTGAAAATAGCACACCCACCCCTTGATCACTGGTTGGGAAGTCCATTTAACTGATTAGCCGCTGGGAAAGAAGTGGTACAATATGGTTGGTGAAGTGGGCCATGATTGATGGTGTGGACTGTGTGCCTGTCCACTCCTGATGCTCCACTCATGTTTCTTTGTGCATGTGTCCCCCCCCCCCAGCTTTTTAGGCGTGCCTAGGTTTTAAATTTAGCTTTTGATGGAGAAAGATCAGATTTCCACACTCTTATTTTCATCAGTTGTGCGCCTGTGTTGCTTTGGTATTTGTTTGTTTTTTCTTTACTGCATAAGTTTGGCTCCTTCTAGTGTTCTTTTTGCTATTATCTCACTGTATCTCCAGTGTATTTCCCTCCAACTTAAATGTGCAGGGAAATATTCCGGAGATACAGTGATGTAATACCAAAGCGACCACTAGAGGGAGCAATACACATGAAGAAAGGGGAGGGGAACCAAAGCAGTATGGGCACATGAGCGATGAAAAGAAGAGTGCGGAAAAGCCTAGAGAGACCGACAAGACCTTGCCTCTTAGGGTATGTGCATTTTGTTTCCCTTACAAGGTTTCATCAACTGGTTGCTGTCATGGGGCATTTGGGCTGTGGTAGCAAAAATCAGCTACGCCTGCTATTTGGCGCATCCCATGTTGATCTTGCTGTACAACGGACTTCAGGAAACTCTCATGCACTACTCTGACATCAACATGGTAAATGTTGCTTTCGGGAAATAAAAGTTTGTTTTTAGAACTGTTACGACATTGTCTAAAGAGAAGCAATTCAATTCCCCGGAAGTGACGCAGGTACGCTGGGCAAGCTGGGGGCGGGGCCAGGACCATCTGAGGGAAAACCATAGAGTTTTCCCTCGGATGACCGTGACCCCGCCCCCAGCGTGTCCGGCGTACTCGCGTCACTTCCAGGTGATGTGCACGTGGGGCTGGAGTTCCCCCCCGGGGCCCAATCCGCCGGTGGCGGGGAACGGGCCTCTGGGGCGGGGTTTTCCCCGCCCCCCGGGGGGGACTTGGCAAGCCTAGTTCTTTGTCGGGGGCGACTCCTAGTTGAAGGCCTGGTGGAAGAGCTCCATCTTGCAGGCCCGGCAGAAGTAAATGCATAAAAGTAAATGCATAAATACAGTCGAAATGATCATAAAATCATCTAAAAACAATTCAATATCGTAAAGTGCTAGCGGTATCTCTTAATTGCTTAACAATGGTGGTGCCGTATGAATGCATTCAAGATCTAGCTAGATGTTCAGCTCATTGGTCTCTCCCTAATATTATCGGCAGGCACAGGCTGCTGAAGGAAGGAGTTACGTCAGCAAATGCAACTACCTTGTTCCCTCTCTCCTGCTACAGCCCAAAACACCCCCAGTGTGGTTCCTGGGAGCCTCTTGTCCACCCAGAGCTTAAGCACTACAGCAGGAAGGAGATAAAAGCCCAGCCTGGACTACACCACTTCAGAGTGTGGGTGGGGAGGCAGATACTTGAATGCTGAAAGCTAGCATATCTCACACAGAGAGACCCTGACTGGCCCAGGCCAGTCCAATCTTGTCAGGTCTCAGAAGCTAAGCAGGGTTGGGCTTGATTCGTACTTGGATGGGAGACCCCCAGGGAAGTCCAGGGCTGCTACCCAGAGAGAGGCAAATGGCAAAACCACCTCTGAACGTCTCTTGCCTTGGAAACCCTACAGGGTTGCCATAAATCGGCTGTGACTTGACTGCACTTTCCACCACCGCCACCAGCATGTCAGCAAAGTTTGTCTATAACTCCCCCCCCCCGTGGCATACTAACTTCCCTGCTAGACAGGGGAGTTTGTCTCCCCCTCCTCTAGGCTTACCAAGTGGCGGCGGGGGATCCGCATGTCTTCACAGGATCCCTGCCGCGGGGACGGAAATACGCATTGCACCACCGTCGCCAGAATGTGACGCAATGCGTCGCTCTGGCAACGGGGCTGTTTGGAGTCCTGTTGCAAGAGCGACGCGTAGCGTCACATCCTGGCGACGGTGGGTGCAACGCGTGTCGTCATCCCCGCGGCAGGGATCCTGTGAAGTAGGGTTCCCAACCCCCCCCGGGGGACGGAATTCCCCCCGGTTTCGAGCCCCGATTCCCGCTCCCGCGGAATCGGGGCCCGGGGGAAACCCCACCCCCGCATGTGCGTCACCCGGAAGTGACGAAGAGTTTTCCCCTCAAATGGCATGGCCCCGCCCCCAGCGTGTGACGTCACTTCCGGGTGACACACACGTGGCGCGCGCAAAGAGGACGCCGTCCGGGAGCCCCCCGCTCCCGGACAATTTGGATTTGGCAACCCTACTGTGAAGACATGCGGATCCCCCGCCGCCACTTGGTAAGCCTACCCTCCTCCTCTAAAGAAGACCGTGGAAATCCACAGTCTCTCACCTGTAAACTGGTACAGTCATGAAAGGGCTGTATACTGTTTGCTGTTTCTGCAGCTCTCCAGTAGCCATCAGTGCAAGGGGAGGATAAAGCTTTCTTCTCTTTGTTCTCCACTCTTACCAACACAGTAAAACCAGGGCGATGTGAACACGGCTACCGAACGGTATGTCACCGTCGGTGGTTTTACAGCCACCTGTTGCCTCTGGAGGAACGCCTAGACTTCATATACATAACTGTGCCAGAGTGAAAACACACAAACACATGAAGCTTCTTTATACCAGGGCTTTTTTTGTAGAAAAAGCCCAGCAGGATTCCATTAGCATAATAGGCCACTCCCAACAGCAGAAACTCATTAACATATTAGGCCACACCCCTGACAGCACAGCTCATTGGCATATTAGGCCACACCCCCATGCCTTCCCTTGGCTTGCCTGGGCAAGCCGGCCCTTGGACAGGCCGGGGAAGGCACGGGGAGGCATTTAAATGTCTCCCCGATCCTTCCAGGACCCCCCCTGACCTACCCATCTTGGAATAGCCGGGGGGGGTCGCTCTCCAGGCCTTCCCTCTGTAGCCAGGCATGCAGAGGTTTGGCATGTAATGGCCGTGGCCAACTCTGAAGTCAGCTGGAAGTCTGTTCCTGTGCGTTCCTGCCCAAGAATAACCCTACTTTATACTCTGGCCCAGTCTGCGTCTAGCATTTGCTCCGCTGTTTTACCAAACCCACGCTGGAACAGAAATTCCCTTCTTCATTGCAAGCCACTTTCACTTTCTTTGATTGCTGGATTTTATGGAAGCCTCCACATTGCATGCTGATTTCACTTCTTTTGATCTCTTGGTTTTCTGGTACTGTCTGCATTGATTTAGGGCCGTTCCATGGCCGTTCAGGGGTGACTCTGCAGTCAGTATGGTGTTGGCCCAGGGCATTTTGATGTGGTTTTGGGCCACATCTTTTCCCATTCCAGTGTGGGTTTGGTAAAACAACAGAGCGAATGCTAGAGGCAGAATGGGCCTCTGTAAGGTCAGCCTTGGCTTCTCTGACGGGCAATGGCTCTCCAGGATGTTGGGTAGAAGTCCTTCACACAATCTACCACCTGTACTTTTTAACTGGAGATGCCAAGGATTGAACCTGGGACCTTCTGCATGCAAAGCAGATGCTCTGCCCCTGAAGCCATAGCCCCCTTCCTCCAGGATAACTCCTCTATCTCATTAAAGACTAACAAAATTTGTGGCAGGGTATGAGCTCTGAAGAAGTGAGCAGTGACTCACGAAAGCTCACACCCTACCGCAAATTTTCTTAGTCTTTAAGGAGCTACTGGACTCTTAACTCTTTTCTAGTGCTGTAGACAGACCCATCTTGACCTATCCTCTCTCTCCACTTGTGCTCCTCTTCCTAGTTCTACCTGTTCCTTGGACACTGCCTGATGACATTCGTTGTTGGACTGGCATTGACGGTGATGATTGAGATGCCTCTTCAGGAGTTAAAGCAGTCTTGTGGAAATCGACGGGTGGTTCCATTGTAAAGGAGGATGCAGAAGTTGGGCCTTCTCTTTCAAACCAGTGCCCTGTTTTTATTCATGGTCTGCGTTTTCAGGACACCTGCGGGTTCTTGAGAAACACCCAATAAGGAGGCTTCGGACTACATAGAACTAAACCACTTCTGTTCCTGAAGTTCTATTTCTGGATGTACGTGCCCATCCATCAGATCATCATAGATTCCTCTGTCTTTGGAGATGAGGCGAGTGATGACCAGAGGCAGGGCTTTCTGTGTAGTGGCACCTTAGGTCCGTCCTCCCCAGATATGTTCATCTGTTGTCCACGTCGTTATTGTTCAGGTGCTAGGCAAAAACGGTTTTCTTTTCTCATGCTTTTGATCTGAATCCAACCGAGAAGCTTGGTTTCATCCTCACTTGCTGTTAACTCTGCTGAATCATAGAATCACAGAGTTGGAAGGGGCCCTATGGGCCATCGAGTCCAACCCCCTGCTCGATGTAGGATCAGCCCTAGAGCATCCCTGGCAAGTGTTTGTCCAGCCGCTGCTTCAAGACTGCCAGGGAGGGGGAGCTCACCACCTCCCTAGGCAGCTGATTCCACTGTGGCACAACTCTTACTGTACAAAGGTTTTTGCTAATATCCAGCTGGTACCTTCCTGCCCTTAATTTAAACCCATTCTTGTGAGTCCTCTCCTCTGCTGCCAACAGGAACAACTCCCTGCTCTCCTCCAAGGGACAGCCCTTCAAAGACTTCTAGAGGGCAATCATGTCCCCCCCTCAACCTCCTCTTCTCCAGACTGAACATCCCCAAGTCCCTCAGCCTTTCCTCACAGGGCTTGGTCTCCAGGCCCCCGATCGTCCTCGTCTCTCCCCTCTGCACTGCTCTGTGTCCAATGTCTCTTGCTTGTCAGTGCATTGAGATTTCTGTTTGCTTGTTCTATTTTATAAGCCACTTTGAACATGAACGTGGAAAAGCGGGGTGTAGGTATTTAAGCTGTAGAAGAAAAGAAAGGGGCATGGCTGGTCTGAGGAACCCCGTCCGTCATGCCCTTCGATCTGCATTCCCTGTGAACAATCTCTCTTGTTGAAGTTCTCTCACCTACCCTAAATGACCTTCACCGCTTGATCCTCTCTGTCAACCACATTCATTGCTGTAGAATAAAGAGAATGACAACACTTTATGTGGAACTGCTATGTCTTCCCTCCCTCTCTCCCCAGCATCCCTGCTCGCCCAGATGTCCCACTTGCCCCTTTTGTCAGGGCATCAGTGGCTTGTGGAGGATTTATTTATTTAATTTATTTATACCCCCCAACTTTCTGCCCAATGGGGACCCAAGTGACTTATATCCTTCTCCTCTCCTCCGTTTGTATCCTCACAACGGCCCTGCGAGGTAGGTTAGGCTGAGGGAGTACGACTGGCCCAAGGTCACACAGCAAGCACCCACGGCACGAGAGGGAATTTGAACCTGGGTCTCCCAGATCCTATTCCGACACTCTAATAATTCACCCCAACCCCCCCCCCCCCCCCCCCCACCCCCCCCCCCCACACACAGAAAACCGCAGTGACAC